GTCAGCACTGCTCAGGACAATACCTAAGACATGGGACTTACAGAAGCTTTTTGTTCCACCTCTTGGTTACATCCCTGCACAACAGTACAGAAGCTCTCAAAGACTTTGAACACACCAGATTTTGAGTAAAGCATCATGACGTGGCACTCAGCTCTACTTTTACTCCATTTCTAAGGGCAGCTGCTTTTCTGTTTTTCTTTGCGCATCTGTGGACAACAAAGTCTTTTCTCTCACACAAGAATGTCTTCATTAAGTCAGTTTCTGCCTTCAGCTTATTCTTGTGCATACTATAATCTGTGTATATGCACAAGAAAGGCTTGAGAAGCAGACTGAAAAAACAGGAAGCTGGAATAAACAATGAGGCAGGAACTGTGGGGAACTTAAGCATCTTTTCTTGCCCTTATTGTGCTGCCTTCCTTTTCATTTCTGTTTACTGCTGAATTTAGGATTCCTCCTACATTTGTATGAAACATTTCAATGTTCTCTGTTTTGTGACCTCTTTCTGAGCAATATGACATAGTATATCTAACACAGTGACCAGGCACAAAGTCAAACAATTCTGAGTTCAACTACTATCCTGAACTAGGATTCATATCAGATTTGCCAAATTTACTTTTTTTTTTTTTTTTACACTAATGTTGTTCACTGAGTAATGAAAAGGTCTAAAATACCCACCAAATCAGCAGCTCCTACTCTTCACACTGAGTATTCCATCTCCCTTTGCACAGATGGTAGGACAGAGGGAGAAATTGCATTTTAATATACAAAACACCCAGTAACCCATGCACCAAACAGCAACTCTGTCCCATTCATGAACGCCCCTCATTAACGAATCACTCATTTTTATAGGGGTGACATCCTTTTAAAAAAGCATTTATAATACACTAACATTTGCTGGCTGACACTGAATGTACTTCATGAAACAACAACAATTTGAGTGACAGGAAAGAGAGGAGTTAAACATAGATAGAGAGTAGTAGTTTCAGCCCAAATCAGCAAAATCCCTTTTTAGCACCTTGAAAAATACCTATTTAAGATGATCAATTTTTTTAATCAAGATAATTACCCTCACACGTCTTTTCCTATCCTTAAGTGTTTAACAAGAAACATCTTAGGCTCTCCTTAGCTCTACTACTTCTAAAGCTTCTAACTGTAAGCAAAGAATCAGATTATGTTGTGAATTGCAACCCTTTTACCTCATGTGAAAGCTTTCCTGTTTGCATTGCAGAAAGATTTTTTCCACCTTTAATTTTCTGTGCTTTTAAAGATTAGGGTGAAAAAGCATCTACTCCTCTCAAGATTTCACTAGAGACCACCTGGCCTCTTAGTTTGAGTAAACCTTCCCCACCAGGGGAGGTTTAGGTTTTATGTTTTTCTTTATTTCTTAATAAAGAAAAACATCTTCTCTTCAGGGGTGGTCAGTTCTACTATACACACCATGGCATTTCAGCCCACAAAAACACCCTTTCCACCCTTTCTGAAAAATACATCCTTTAAGTCACAGAGATAAGCACTGTAAATGCACAAGAAAAAAAGCCACAGTTCTATTCCTACTGAACTCAACTTCCTCAGCACAGCAAACACTGTCTGGATGTCAGGGCAAAGACAGTGAAGGTTTCATTTAAAGTCACCTTTAAAGGTTTGGTTTTTGGTTTTTTTTGAGATATTTAAATCTGCTCTTGAACCAAAGGGCTGTGAATTCCAAGCCTGGATTTCTCTACACGTAGCACTTCCCATATTGCCATAATTACCTTGCAAACCAGCTTTCACTAAGGAAAAAATGTCACCATAAGCACAAATACAGCAAAGATAATCTTGCAAACACAACCTAGGTGCAAACTCACAGTCTCAACTGAAGAGTCTCCAAACAACCCAAAAGTAAACAGTCCCCAGTCACTCTCCCAGGAGAGCCATGCAATGGAGCAACTTGTCCAGGACTTCAAGGTTCTGCTAAAGCCAAATACTTTGGTTTCATTTGCCCTTGCTGCTCTGCCAGGGCTTGCCTGTGAATTCTCATATTCCTCAGTCTCCCCTTAGTGAGGAGTGTGCTGGGATAGGTGATAGAAACAAGAACTGGACTCCAACTTGTGATCAGGGAGTCTGTGGAGTCAAAATAATGGAAAAAAGAACAGCCCAGCAGCTGGATCTGCTGCTAAAATGACACTAAATAAAATCTTGCAAGTTTATATATTTTCAGCCCCAAAACAGAAAGATGGGTTTTTACTTAAGTCCACCTAGATACTTGTTTTATGGATGGAATGAGAGTTTATGAAGACTGACACATTGATTTAGACCACTATTATTAGCACTGTGTTTTATTTATCTATAATTTCACTAAAGAGACTCTATTTCACTATTTATCTTTCCTGGTCCAAAGGTGATACTGCATCTTCATATAAAATAATTTTCCTATAAAATGGATACTTACATTCTCTGCTGGTTCACAGGTTAACAGCAGGATCCACCTGTGAAGTCTGGGTGGGCAATTACTACTATTTTCACAACCTATTGTTGTTTTTCTTTCTGCTCAGCACAGAACAGACACAAGTAAGAACAGTTACTATGCAAGAGCAAAACCTGAGAAAGAAGAGATCCAACAAGAAATGGAGGCCACTATCTGACATTTTAAAAGGGCAAATCGAAAGCAATCAACACCCAACAAAACGCTCAGTGTAAGATGAGGTGATAGCTTAGGATATACTTAGGGTGGTGTAATGAGGCTAACAAGTGCTGTGTGTTTTAATGTAAATTAACACAAGATAATCTCTTCACATATTTAAGTGATGCACTTCAAGTTAATTAATACATATTTAATAGAAGTCTTCTTGAACAGCTGTTATTTACTTCTGGAGTTTCTACACATTAGCACTGGCTGCTTTGTTCTGCTCTGAAGTTGTTCATGCTCCAAAGTACTTTAACAACTTGGATTGTATAAAAATTGAACAGTCTTCCCAAAAGAGTCAGCCTTTCTGATAACTTAATATTTTCACGTTAAATATTCAAACACTTGCTGAACAAAAGGTCAAATTCTACTTACAGCATCTGTGTGAAACAGGCAAGCAGATGCTTAATGCTGCTAGACAAATACTTTTGGCTCAAAGGATGATATAGAGCTGGTGATCAGTCACATTTTCAGGCTTGAAAATTGGCTCTCCTTTACTTCTGTTCCCTAAATTCTGCACTTACCTTTCATATATAACAGTACAGACGCAAATTATGACCTGTTCCTTCCACCAGTGCTGGTGTTCCTCACAGTGTTACATGAAATCCAGGCAGTGAAAGTGCTGTCTACAGTATTCACTGCATTATTATGAGTATTACACCAACTCACTGAGGCTTCTGTCTTCAACAGCTACTGTGTATAACATTACTGCCTTTGGACCTTGCATACAGCACTGAGGAAGTTCTCACCCCCTCCTTTCATTCAGATGAAAACCCATTTGAGTTTCAGGCACTTCTGAGTTTTCAGAGTGTGAGTAAGTAGAAACCAATTCAAGAAACACACTGGCAAAGACAAAATTCTTATACTCACAGTGGTGAATGTGACTTTTGACAACAGGCACCAGTTTCTTTGAAAACAACTACCACCACTGAACAATCCTTATCAGTATACCTGCTGTAGTTTTCAGCTGACTAAAGATTTTTATTCTTGTGGCACTAGAGCACCAGTGCTCATTGCTTGCATGTCAGCTTTTCAAGCTCACAGGTTTACTGAAAATAACTTCCAAAGCTGGTAACAATTGTATTAGTGCATACCTGTTGGGACAACCTTCACTGCATCTTCTGTGAAATGCTGTATGGAAACATACACAGAACATTCCTAAATGCACAAAGATTTAAGCAGACTGATATTACTATCTAAGTGAATTTATTTTAATTCAATATGGTGTTTCTCATAACACACAGGCCATAAAATAGCATTTATTACTCAGGCTAGGAATTGTAAGACTAAACCAGATCATTGCTTTACCTGGCAAAGATGCCGTGGCTGTGTGGAATAAAAATTCAAAAAGCATCTTCATGATCCTTAACTGCCTCTACCAAGAGCCTAGCAAGCTGCAGATGCAAGGACTCAGGAAGATGACCTCAATTCTCCCTTCCCCACCCCCTGAGTGTGGCTGGTACAAGCTGGGTTAGGTTCCAGCTAGAGTCCTGAGCCCTGTAGGGCCACAGGGATGGGTTTGGGACACAACTGTTGGTTCTGAGGGAAGCACCACCGCACAGGTTTAAAGTGCTTGTGTAAATGTGAACTCTGACAAAGCAGTGCCAGCCACAACTACCAGGCACCTGAAAGGATTTCTGTGCATTGAAGCTGTGTCAGTGCATTTAGGAGAAAAAGGGAGAAAAGCTATGGTTGCCACAGGGCCTAAAGAACATCTTTTCCAGCAGAGCAACACACCAAAGAGATTTCACTGCTTTTGGTGGGAGTCATGTGGGAAACAACCAGTCCAGAAAAAAGAAACCTGAGAAGACAGTCTCATACTGTGATGTTCTGGAATCACCATTATGTTAATAAAACTAAGTTATTTTGAAAATCTTTTTGTCTTTGGAAGGAGGACGTATTCTTGTTCAGAGCAGCATGGGTGTTTTGCCAGCTACCACAAACCCCATGTTTGTATATCTGCTTTGATATCCACAATTTCACTTTCAGTGGCATCAGCACAAGCCTGATGTGTACACGTCAAGGAAAAAGAGAGATCCCAGAGGACAAACTGAGCTCCCAGTCCCAAGGAATGAAAACAAACATTCTGTGCAGCCATGACATAACAGGTATTCCTTGGGTTCTTCTAAGATTCCTTAGAGCTAAAGGATCAAATTCAAGGGGATTCTCTTACAACATACACAGTGAGACTGTAATATTTTTCCTCTACATTTTACATGAAAAATAAAAATCCATGTTTACCTGTGGCTTTGGTAGAAAGGTTTCTATTGAAATTATACCTTGTGTATTCCAAGAAAGTTTTTTACATCACTATTACTAGTCTAGAGAGGTACAAAGCTGCAGGTGCTTGCTGAAAAATAATAAACCTTTATTAAAATTTCCAGTTTTCGCAAAAGCATTTTGACTACATTCCAAATCTACTTAAAATGTAATTAAATATTTACATTTGTTCTCTAATAAGTATTGTAAGTAAATCAATACCCCAATTATCTTAAATTTTTGTGTGGTATTACAAAAAATGTAGCAATTGTATAAATGCACAATTCTAATGAAAAAATAATGATCTTGAACTTTAAAAGAGCCCTTAATTTGGAGAGATGAAAGTGCTTTACATTCTTTCCTTCATTATGTCTTATGGCCCCTGTGTGATGTAGGTGCTATTATCATCATTTTACAGATGGGGAAACTGAAAGGCTAATTAACTTGTCCAATTTACAACACTTTTAGCTGTAAACTTAGGGCATCCTATTGTACTTAAAGGCAAAACAGAACTTAGCTCACCTGTGAGAACATTTTCTAAAAATTCTTACACTCTGTGTTTAACTTACAGGAGAGAATATCTCACACAAGACTTCAGAGTTGGCTTTGCATTGATGGTAGCTTTGAGCACCACAGAAATGTGCTGCCTAGAAGCAAACATCAGAGCACCAGGTCATTGTGAAGTATGTCACCAAGCTTCCCAGCTAGTTATGGAGATGATGTGCATTTTTATTTGGTATTATTTGCCATTCGGCCACACATTTGTGCTTCAATTCTGTAGGAATACCACACTGCATTTCTACAAACAAACACAAACAGACAGTGTTTGCTGACAAACTCATTCCCTCAGTTTACTTATGTGTTCCATGAATTTCTTGACTCGGTCAGGATCAACAGCATTTGCCCAATATCCTTCTTTCTTGAAATAGGAACCAATTATCAGAGCATCTGCATCCAAGTAATCCCTCACATTCTCCAGAGTCACTCCAGACCCAACCAGCACAGGAATCTTCACAGCATGCTTAACCTCTGAGGAGAAGAAAACCAAAATCAGGGTTAATTCCTGTCTTTGAAACTCTCTCCATAAACATTTTAACTTGCTTAGTTTTTCAACAGAAAAAAAATGTATTGAGAAATTTGTGATTGTGGTATTTATTACTTCTACTGCAGAATGAAACAGGTTCTCTAGAAAAAAACACCTCTAGCTCTAAACATTAAAAAAAACACCCCTTACTTTTTACATTCCATTGTCTGGAATGCTTCCATATTTGCTTGTATGAAAGAGAGCAGGGATCATACAGGCACCACTGACAGCTCAGCTAGTTTTTCCAGAAAGCAAAAGCCAGAAAGAGAAGTGGTCTTTTATCAGTGTGAGGAATGACAGTGGAATAAAAAAGCATCTTCTTTTTCCTATATACAGTGTTACTTAATCATCTGAGCTTTTACCTGGTTTCAAGAGGAGAAACAGATAAAAACAAGGCTCAAAACACAGTACTGGCTTTGGGAGGAGGGAAAAAAAGCCCAGTTCAAGAATTACTTAAGCAGCCTTCTCATCATTTTATGTCAAACTGACCATCCAAAGAGTGACTCATAGGACTGGATGCCTCATCCCTTAGAGGAATGTTGTGAGCCATTATTTCTGACCTTTAAAAACATATAAATTGGCTTAATTAGTGATAAGCTGATGGCAAGGTAGTTATAGCTTGAGGTAACTTGGGAAAGCACACATGCAACAAATAAAAGTCTGCTTCAAAACACTGTTTAAATGAAGTTTCATCAGAAGCCTAACTTATTAATTATGCTTCAGGGAAGACTAATTATTTATCACCTTCCTACTTCACTGAAGAAAGGGGATCAATTAAAATGTTCTTGAATCTCTTTTTAGGTCACATGCTCTACCATTTTTCCATCTAGGAACAATAACTCCCTTTAAAAAAGATTTTAACACAAAAATAAAACCATTCAACACAGCCCTTCCTGAAAATATACAACAAATCAGATGGCTCATGCATATATGATTAAAACTTAAGTTATTTCTATGCATATTTGATATTCTTAGTCATTCTGCTTACAGCAACAAAATAATTAATTTCTAGTTACTTATAGCATTATTATGAATATCCTGTTCTAAAAACCAGGATATTTATTTGAAATTTTATTTTGTATTTATATTAAATTTTATTTATATAATACCTATATGCTCTTAGGAATATTCTAACTGCTTTACATCACTACCAGCACACAATTAAGGTGCATCTGACCACAGATTTGTGACAGTACTTGACTGAATCCCCAGAGGAACCAGGTTCCAAGTCGATATTTGCTCTTACAAGCGCATAAAGCAAGTTAGCAGGGAGTTGCTTCATATTTTTTTCATATCAGCAGGAAAAACTAAGAGCCAAATAATTAAACAGAGCAAGTTCATATGGGTCTGAGACAACAGCTCAGCCCTGCTGGGCAATGAGAAAAACCCAGTGAAACCTGAGACTGACGTGAAACTCCAAAACAACCCAAAGCCTTCCAAAGGGGGAAGGTATCAAGTGCTGCTGTGATCCACACGTGACACACAGACTGCACACACACCTCCTGGGCTGCAGAGCTATCCAGAATGACAATGTGAAGAATGGCAAAGGGAGTGCTCAGTGTGCACTGACATGTGTTACCTCATTAAGTATGCTACAGATGCTACTTTAAGTCCTTTCCAAGCACATCAGGGCCTAAAGTTGATTAGTAGAAGGTGATTTGTCTATTGGCTGTGCTAATAAAAATTCTAACCTGTAAAAGAAAATAAAGCAACAGCAGTGAGACGTGCTTTTGTGTGGCAATGTTCAGTCACTGTCAAAATATCTCTAAACACAGAGCTCTGCTTTAAATCTCTCCGTTTTCCTCGTGTTCTTTTTCTGATTTTTGACACAGTGAGAAAAAGGAAACAATTTTGTGATGTTACAGTAACACGAAGCTGAAGTTTACACAGATTTCTCTGTTCCAGTGGACTGTAACTAGAGGGCACTGTGCTCTTTCTTGTGACAGCACAGTTGCACACAGGTCTTTAATAAAACCCAATGAAATTGTGCTGGGTTGAAAAGCAGAATGAAAGCATTTGAACTATGGTATGCACAAGTTTCATGAAATAAAGGCCAAGTGCTCCTAGCTTGAAAACAATGGCAAAGAGTGGTGTAAAAATAAGCACCACTGTGCCAATAACTTGCTTGACTACTCTTCTCTAACAGCTTTCTCATTGCAGTGATCACTGTACCATACACAGCACTATGTTTATGGTAATGCTCCCCTCTTAACACATTTTAGGTTTTTAATTCAAAGGACTTTTTCTCTGTCATTAAATTTAGGGCTTAAACAGGAGATGTGAGTGATGAGTACTTTTTCTATCTCTGAGGGTATCACACAGGCAGCAGTCTCTATTTTGCCCATCAAAAGATGAGAGGGGGTGAGCCAGTCTTGAGGCCCCTTTTATGAACAGTAATTAAGGAGGTGACAGTCACAGCCAGCTGTTGGATTTCATGATGTACCTGTTTTCCACAGGTTACTCAGCTGAGACACTTTGTTTTGTTCAAAGAGATAACTGAGCTGTCATTATGCAAAGATGCAAAGCTCTGGTCACTCAAAATACAAACTGAATGCAAAGCAGGTATTTCAGCAGTTACAGCCCAAGAAAAAACCTGATGGGTTCACACACCCAACCAAAGAATATTCCACAAGGCAGCAAACTGGAACTTTTATAACCTCTTAGATGAAAAGATGGTTTATTAATGAATTCAAAATGCTCAGCTATAGTTCTTGCTCCTTAACAACATGAAGCCTGATTTTTCAGACCTTGTACTCCCTCTGGAGTGGGGAGTGCCCTGGAGTGCCCAGGCAGCCCTGGAGCAGAGCCTGCCAGCCTCCAGAAGGCAGCAACACAAACTGCAAACAAAACCTGACTGAACACACATCTCTGCCTTGACGGGGAAACACTTCCCGCAGCCCATCACAAATCAATCAATTCTACACAAAGACAAAACCACTTCTATATTACTGCACAACAAAGCTGAAAAAGAGACATGACAAAAATCTCACCTGTCTCTCAGCTTTGCTTTCAAGAGCTGCTTTGCAGTGTGATGAAAGGTGCCCAATTGTATCACCGTAATACGGCACTGCCGGGGCTGCATAAATTCCTGAAATGCAGAATCTCACTCACATCATCACCAACTTTGTAGACTGTAGATCTGATCCCTTTTTAAGAATTTCCTGACATAGATATGCCTAATTTGTCATTTTTTTATACTGTGGAATTTTTAAGTTCTTTTCTTACCTGTTTTAAGACATCTTTCTCATGAGAGGGCCTGCTAACATCCAAAATGCTGTGATCTAAGTACAATAAACCCATGATCTGCACACTCCTGCTTTCATAACAAATCCAAACACAGAATTAATGTGTACTTCATTACAGCTGCCAACTCTGATTCATTTTGTTCTTTGGACCCAGAAAGAGAAAGAGACAGGGACTGACAAGTTTGTTCACATGAAAGAAAAGCAGAAGCTGTGGTTCTGTCTGGTTGGGGTCCTGTGACAAAAAAGCCTCTGGGCCTACAGGTCAGGTTTTGCTCTCTGATGCAGTAAATCAATGGAGGTTGCATGTGCATACATGAAAGCAGAATTTAACCTAGGATTTTGCCCAAAGATATATCAAATATTTTTAAAAGTTATTTGATCTGCATTAATAACAGTAGAGACATTAAGTACAAACAGATGGATCTCTAGATTAACAAAATTTTGCAGTCTCTAAAGCAGGCATAGCTTCCAGTATCACCTGTTCCACCTGGATCATTTCTAATTTGCTGTACCAAAAAAGCCAGCTAATGCAAGAGGCTCAGTGTTCACACCAAGCCATCATTTTCTTTTTAAGATTGGTGACTGAGGCATACCAATTTGTAATCTATTTTTTTAGCAAAAAGTGAAATAAGAACCATTTTGACAAGTTCAACATTCATTTTAAATGCTCTTCAGCATGTGTGATATACATAAAGCCCTGAAAACACTGAATGATTTTATGTTGTTTCAAAAGATATAAAAATACAACACAAAAGGTACAAATAACACCTCTTGAGGTCCAGGTTATCTCTGACAGGTAAAATATGTTTTTCATGCTGATCTCCTAATTTAAGTTGAATACAACACAGTGCACTGGAACTTCAAAACATGCCAAGTTACAGCATGTCAGGTAAAGTAAAACCTAAAAAAATACACATTCTATTTTATGTAGTGAGACATTCAAATTCAAGCCATTGATCTAAATTAAAACTAGTGATGAAAACTAAATGTCCCCATGACAGAACTTTAATTCCAGCATGGGAGCAATACTGTTTCATGAACACAGCCCAAACTGATGCTAATATAAAAATATCAAGAATCATAGCACTTCTGCAAAGGTCAGAACTCATAGGTCAAATGAGTCTCTCTTGACAAAAAGTCCACACTACTTAAAAATTATTTTGATGTTAATATCTTCCTGTCTACCAATGAATTTGAATTCTTTCTGAAAATCTTCCAAGCAGTACTTCCTCTGGTATTAATGTTTGGAACGCTGCCTTATCAAAATGCTGCTTTTCTTGCAGGAATTCCATTTCCAGTGTGAAAGGTAAAAGCTGCAAACTCTTCAGTGGAAAGATTTATGGTTAGCTAGTTAGTTTAATATGGCTAGTTTTAGTATAGCTAGTTTTCTAGGGTTATAAAGTGGCTTTTTCTTATATTAGGGCTATTTACAAAGTAAACAGTATTTTCTTTCAGCCTCAGCATCACTCAGTGTTATAAAAGCTTGGAATAATTGTCTTTTTTGCCCTGCCAAACTGTTGTATAGAAACATACCACAGCCCATCTAAGTAACACTTCAAATATGATCATTCTGATCAAACCAAACCCCATAGTGTGGTAATCACATACCCTCTGAACAGAGAGGGACATAGCTCTCCCAGCATTTTCCTGGGAAGCTGTGAGAAAGAATTAAAACAATTATTATCTCAATCTCTGCACCTGGCAGGCAATCTCTGTTTGTCAAAGATGTTTACAAGGAGCTGTCCCTTCTTGACCGATAGGGAGAAGATTCCTACAGGCCAATCAGGCCTTAGGTCCTTGGTTGTTTCTATAAGAACTGTGGATTTTGAACAACAAAGTGCCTTGTCCTGCCTGCTGATGATGGAGGCTCTGTACCACCTTTGTCCCCGACACCCTCTGGTGATACCAGAGAGAGCTCCCCAGCTCCCCGGAGCCCCCGGGGTGCCCGCTCACCTCGCAGCTGCCGGGGGTCCGCGGGGTGCCCGGTGGCCGTGCCAGTCAGCACCACGCCGTCAGCCAGGAACAGCTGCACCGCGCCCGCCGTCTGCGCCACGCCGACGTCGGCCGTCAGGGCGTGAGCACTGCGGGGACACACAGAGCCTGTCACACACAGGGAGCCAGCCCTGCCACCCCGCCTCCCGCTGCCAGGACCCCCAGGGGCTGCTTTGGCAGGGTCCAGGTGACGCTGCCAGCAGGTGACACTGCCACCCGAGCAGGAGTTAAACCCAACCTCTTCCTTCACTGGGAGTTAAACCCAACCTTTTCCTTCACTGACCGGTGATTGCTGCGGGTCTCCTGGCTCTGCAGCGTGAGTGCTAAGTGTGAACCACCAAGTGTCAATTGAGACAGCTGCCTACATGTCAAGCACCTGTATTTCAGAAGTGTTGAGCACACAGAGCTCTCTGACTTCAAGTGGGAGTTGTGGATGTGCCCTCATTCATAAATCAGATCCTGTTGCCTAGGGCAGAATCAACAACCTCCACAAGTCCAATAACAGAAAGTATAGTTAATATCTGTGATATAACCACAGGAATCATCTTACACAGCAATTACAAACATCAATTACACCTGCATCCCAGCTGTTCAACAGCAGGCTTTGATGTATGGGTGACACACTTTGTCTGAAACCCATCGCAATTGCAGCTATTAATTGATGAGGTCCCAAACTTGGAAAGAATTCCAGCCTTTGCTGGTTGAACATCCAACACTGTTGGATTTTCTGTATTTAAATAGAAAACAATAGCTATGGCAAACATGTTGCACTGCTGAGTGCTGATGGCACAAGAACAGTTTCTCCTCATTTAAAGAGCAGGAGCATCGAAGCTTGCAGTGGCAGCTGCACTTTTCTACATCAAAAAGCTCAACCAAGAAGTCCTTCAGCATTTCCTTCTGAGCTTATGCTTCTGACTGAAACAAGAACTTCTTTGCCTTTCTTAAAGGCCAACTCTTTGAAACATAGGAAGTATAATCCAAATATCAATTCATCAATTGTCAAGACTAAGAATAAAAATTACATGATGCAATTTGATTAACAGAAAATCTAATGCAGTATATTTACATTTATATATATATGTTAAAAAATCATCAGAAAGAAACTGCTCTGAAAGGACCTAAAAAGCTTCATCTGACCACGACACTTCATTGTTTTCTTTCTCTTTTGAAATTTATTACCTGCTTATTACATATTTAAGATCTTCCAAACTTGATTATTCTCATGATTGCTCACATACTACACACAAACATTTTAATTAGGTTATTTAGCATGTATAATACATAGCACTTGAGCAGTTCTTCTGGGGAAAAAAAAAAACAAATCCAAAGAGTGACATCTAAATAGCTGAAAGTACCATGTGACAGGTAAGATGAAGTATAAGCAGAAAAGAAACTGGATTTATCTGTCATAAATTCCTTCTGTTTGATAATCATAGAACATAACCCTTACATAGACAGCACTGATTTAAGTAGCAGGAATCAGTATTATTGGCAGGAAGGGGAAGAAAGGGAAGAGCTTTTTAAAATGCCAAACTATGATCACTTGGATGCTTTTATATGGCATCTGCCTTCATAACTAAAAAATAACCTTGGATACCTAACTTTCAGAAACAAAACTTGTTTTAACATAATAGACATTTACACATGCATACAAAGTCTCAATACCAGATGCAAGGCTTTCATAGCTGGCACACTGAAAACCTGAAGGTTAAACAACTACAAACATCACAGATAAAGCAACTTGCAACTTACAGCTGCAAATTTATTTTCAAATGTATCCCCTTACAGGACTGCAAGTCCATGCTTAAATAACAAACTTCTCCCTATATGATTAACTTCCCTGGAAGAAAACTGATATTAAAGGAACCCAGAAAATAAAGAAAATATAAGATCATGATTGCATTCATATTTACATAAAATTTTGTTTCTACTTACCTATGCTTCTTTTTAATATCAGCAAAAATCTGAATGTTGTCTGCTCCAATGTGTTTTCTGTATCGTAGCAGGTCACCTGCACAGGCATTTATAAACCCTTCATCAGCCACGTGAGAAAACACAAACCCTTCAGCCCGGATGAAATCAAGACCTGAAAACAGTCAAAAGCAACATTTTATTCTGAAACTGAGAATTGGAAAAGAAAAACACTAAAACAAATAAAAATTCACCTTACTGTCCCCTCCCTATTTGAGCCCAACACAAATTGTTTCATGTGCTCTAGGACTAACCCACCTCCCTTTCCCACATACTTTCCATTCTTTATTTTTGCCCCTATTCTCTCTGACTTCTTCCCATCTCACTGCTTTCAGCTGCCATCTCTCCCACTGAGCCCACCAGTTTTCCCCCAGGCCCTGGTCCCCTTCTCTCCCCCTCAGTTTGTCCCTGTGTGCTCAGAACAGGCAGCTGCACACCCTGCCCTGTCTGCTGCCAAGATGTGCCATGCAGAGGTGGGTCATAACACAGCTCTCTATTCTAATGACATGTTTTCTCCCCAAAAAGGGTCACTAACTTGCATCTCTTCCCCCTTTCCAGGCTACAGACACAGAGGAATAGCACTGTCATCTTTCTTTAGGAAATTAGGCAAAACCCAGCCTGAAGCATGTTATATGCAACCCATGTGACTCCATCTGAACATAGCATGTGTTTCCTACACAGCACCACATCAACAAATTGCTTCTAGAGCTGTGCCAAAGGCTTAGGAAGAGTCAAACATTTGCTATTCTACTCCAGCCATCAATTCTGCCATGCCTTAGTAACACAGGTTCTACCATATTCATTAAGTTTTGTGGAAGATTTTGTGGAATGGATAATTATGAATTGTAATTACTTCATGTGGGCCAGTCATTGACATTCAGGGCCCCCCTCCACAGCCTTGAGATATCTCTGTTGTAAGACAAGCCTTGGACCACAGAGCAATAAGCCCACAGCAGTGAGGCACAAGATTTAATTCTGACTCCCTTATTGCAATCCCCACTTCTTTTCTGTCTTTCATAGCCTTGAACTGTCACTTAAAACCTTCCTCTTTTACACATTTTTGTAAAAGCTCTGCACTCATCTTGTGCAGTTTTGCTGCTCTTCCAGTTTGCTTTGGAGGTGTCTTCCAAGCCCTTCTGAAGCTCTGCTACTGCTCCAGCTTTGGAGTCAGATGCACATTTAATTAGAGCTGACATCATTCAAAGGAAAGCAATGCATGTGGAAACAGTCAACAAGAATGCAATCCCACCCACAACTGATTAGGCAACAGAGGCATTACCTTAGCACATTCCAACTATAAACATAGCTGATCTTGAAAATTTATTTACCAAATGACAAGGTGTCTGTTTATTTTAAAATTCCAGTTTCATTCCAAAAGCCCTGAAGTTGCAGAAACAGAAGCTTACGCCTGATAGAGAAGAGCCTGCATTGCTTAGCAACACAGACTCCAGCTCACAAGAAACATCACAGATGGATGCCAAATCAAATGCAAGCTGTCCTGTGCCTGGAGATTAGTGCAAAGCACGGAGTATTCCCAGGATCCAAAGACAAGAGTGTGCCACAAGTACCATTGCAGGTGCTTGTAGACACTGGGTGATAAACACAGTGCAAATAGCTAAACTGAGATTTCTACATCTAGGAACAAAAGCTATAGCTTCTAATTACATCACTCAAGCTTACAGTACAATTCAGTTATATAAGAATAATTATTTCTCTGATCATAAAACTGGATGAGCCTAGAGACATAACAGCTCCACAGCAATGAAGGTTTAACTTGGGACAGGAGCTATTCATTGAGTAATTTCATTTATTGAAGTCACTGCTTACACATTGTTTGTCGATGCTTGGTTCATGTTTCCTTAGACTTTCTGCTAAACATTGGATTGTACTTAGTTTAACAAGGCTGCACTCTCAATCTGGGTTTTTGAAGGCCATGAAAATACAATTTTTAACGAAGTGTAATAGGTGCAGGTACCATATCATTACCATTCTCTTTTATGAAGCCATAATCAGATCCTGCTAATGAATTCATTTTTATGCTCATAAAATTGTGAGAATGATACTACTGCTTACTTTCACATTTGGCAAGTTGAAAAGTAATAGCCACTGAATAGTTAATAGGCAGTCCCATTTCTGACTTACATGGGAACAACACATTTTGTAGTTTCACTGGAAAACAAGAATAGGAAATATCCAATGAAAACTAATAAACAGAACTCTTAGAGGGGCATTGACTTTGCTGTTGACACTGGAGGCACAGTGTGTCTGTGCTGCAAAAACATTTCTCAGGACACTGTCTTGCAGCAGCTCCTGCCATGCTCAGCATGGGCTGCAGGCACAGGAGCAGGGTCTCCAGCAGCTCTCCCAGCAGGATGCACAGCACTCCCCGCCTTTCACAGCACCTCTGGGTGCTCCCTGCTGCAGTTCTCAGCTGAGCTGCCTCCCCTCACCTCTGCATTCATATGGTGGCACTTAAAAAGGACAGCAAAAACCATAGCACACAGATCTGCCTAATTCTGTCTTGTCCTGAACAGTATCGTGGGTGACAGCAAGTGAATTCCCACTCTTGGGGTGCAGGAGAGAAAGGAATGGGCTCAGACAGCAAAGCTGTGTTTGCAAAAGACATGGAGACATCTGGGATATCTCCTGACATGAAGCCTCATTTATCAGCTATCAACTGTGTCATCACCATTGACGAAGACTGATCCAGAACTGGAATTTCAGTAATTGATTCTTAAAGGGAAAAGGGCAGCTTCAGGTAGAGAGGGCAGTTGGACTAGATGACTGTTTAAAGTCCCTTCCAACTGAAACATTTTTTCTAAATTTATGAGATAAGATAAATTAAAAACTGAGCCCTGATTCATGATGAGTTTCCCAGGCACAGGACCTTACAATCCTTGCTCAAGCTAGTAGAGCTCCCAGTCCCACTGCAGACCTGTGGACTTCCCCCACCCTTTACCAAATAAAATCAATACCTTCTCCTAGAGACCAGTTATAAATTCCCTGTGTGGCTCTCTTAAGAACAGTCATTCCTACCAAAGACAGGGATCTCCACAGGGAAAATGAAATGACTGTACAGTAAGCAGAAGATGCTACATATGGTTTTTAGCTAGAACACCTTCAACAAGTTATTTTTGTAGTGAGAGCATACAGGATTTCCTTTGTTAATAGCTACCTATCAAAATTGTATTGGCATTAAAGTCACTATTAAGTTGCTACAGAAAAGCTATTTTAAGATTGCTATCTACAAAGTAGCACCCACTTTAGTATGGTTTTGCTTAAAGTGATTTTCTTTTTGCTTCCCTGTTCAGTGAACTTGAGACAATCATTTTTAGAGAAGTGCAATGAAATGCATTAAACACAGGCCCTTCCTGGTTGGTGTTCTACAGTTACAGAGGAAATAGTGCAGAACAGTAGTGGAGCTGAGCAAAACTCAAGCCCTCCAGGAATTCTCCCCTTCATTAATAATTGCAAAGAAGAGAAATACATTGTTCCCAGACCATATCCCTTATTTAGTGATGATTTTTGCTCCTCAAAGGAATGCTTTTAAAAATAGGGAATGTGCTTTTTTTCCAAATACCTATGCACCTCCAGTGGCCCACTTGCAGCAGCCTCTACAAACTAAGAATGGATTTTGTTACCATTTTTATTTGAGGTTTTCATATAGGTTCCAGTGCAGCAATAAAAATTAGGTTTTCTCAATTTGTCAAGTGGTTAGATACTTTGAAAATGGCAACATCTGATTTAAAGCTCACAAAACAAACGCCAGTTCAAAACACATCTATTAACAAGAATTTAAAGCTTTTAGAACATAGTAGGCATAATTAAAACTGCCACTGCAGATAGGTTAGCCTACATGATTGTACCTGAAGTATGGCTTTCACTTAACACCAGCATCTTCTGCCTGGTTCTATGTAATTTGTACATGCAAAAATGTGCAGCTTTACCATAATGACAGTCAATTTGGGCAAAAATATGCATCAACCCTCATTTTGTGAATTTAGGAAGTACAGGCTTTCCATGTTAAGCCAGCCTACACCTTTACATCAGGGAGGGTTACATATGAAAAACTAAAATTGCTTCAGCAAACAGTAAGAGCAGGAAGTTTAGCCAAGTCTAGGATTCATGCAATAAGGATAGATTAATTTATATTTAATTCCCCCAAAGGCAATTTAATTTTAAGTACTTTGGCTATCTATACACTCAATTTTTGTCATTATATAAAAAGCTTCATTCTACTCATTCATTAAAAAAGACAATGAAAACTTAGTTTTCATGGACAACAGTAGCAGCAACAACATAGAAATAGATGCTGAAACAGGGTGCTTACCCCCATGGGTTCAGTTATATCAAATGTGAGGATCAACTTAAGTAAAGAAGAGCTACACCAAAGGTGGCTTTCAGACACCAGCAGAGTTAAACTAATGATTACATTTAGACAGGTTTCACCTAGAAAGCTGTGGTGGCAGCCTTTAGCAGCCTCCAACTGAAGCAGTTCACAAGTACCACCCACTCTGATTAAGCAGGCATCCTTCTCAGAACACAGCTGCTGCTTTTTCAGGGCACAGTCAGCTTTCCACAGCACCCATGTCAGCCAAGGTGCAGCTTGTGGAGAGTGAATGCCACAGCAATACCTGAGCAGCCCTTTGCATTACCTGCAGCCAGAGCAATGGCTATTGCCTGCTGGTTGGCAGCACACAGCACCTGGACGCCCAGAGGGACACGGGGACAGCTGTGTCTCATGGCAGCAGCGAGCACTGCCATGGCTGCGGTGACCTCCGGGCCCGGGCGCACCGTGTACGGCACGTCGTGCATGTTCTCCAGGATCAACCCATCCTGGGGAGAGAGTGAGAAAAAATATCACTGCACTCTACTAACGTGGCCAGTTCACCATTATGTATTTGCACTGAGACACACAAGTGTAAGGGTTTCCTTCAAAGGGAGGATTATCCACAGCAAGTTGTGTTGATGCATTTGATGCGCACAACCACTTATAGGAGTGCTTTCATCAACAGCATGGTATTTGCAGTGAAATCATGAAGAGAAATAAATGTGATTTTAATTATACATTCATCAATTTGGGTTCCTTTGATCCATCCTAAAATGGGAACTATAGGCAAATGAGTTAAATCTTATACCTCATTAGGAATAGTGTAAAGTCAAACTTCAATTATCCAAGGGGAATACAGGATATTGAGTATGTTCAGATAACAGAGGACTCTGAGATAATCAGGGCAACTTTCAATTCAATTAATGTCAGAAAATAAGTGTTACTTTGGATAAATAAAGGAATTTTTGTTTGACTGTTATTGTGCCAAATGCCATAATATGAACTAGTGATACTTCTCCCATTCTGTATTCAGAATTACTGGAAAGAAGATATTGCTATTTATTGTCTATTATACCTCTCCATCCACATGGACATACTCTTGGCAAACAATGGAGTGATGATAAAACATTCTGTTGATACAATTTGTGCATTACCTGATGCCACACACATTTCTAACCATTGCATAGGCTATACTAAAAACTTTGCAACAACTGCAGATAATACATAATTTTGTTAAGGATTAATAACAAGAGTAAAAGTAGAGCCTTGAAACATATTCCATGCCTAGTATTTTGCATTAGCAGTAAGAAGATGAAAAGAAAATCAGATATTTCTCACCAGCTTAATTCTAAAAATGCACAAAGTTTAATAGACAAACTAATTGTGTATATAGCAAATAAATTCTGCTCTCTCTGGAGTTTTATCACACATCTTAATCCTTTAAAATGAGAGCTTTACCTTTCATAGATATTGCAACAGAGTAAGAATGGAACATTTTTTGGGAAAAAATACAACTAGAGATTAAACACAGCAGCTTGGTTCTTAATAACACAGAGAATCAGGAATGGGAAACAAAAAATAAGTTTCTTTAAAAAAATTTTTTATATGTGACACTTCTCTAATCTTTGTTGTAGTGCGGAAGCCCTTCTGGTAGTAAAAGATAAGACAGTATCTAAAATAGTGTCAACATTTTAATGGCTGAATTACAGGCTATGGCACAGGCATCATAAATGAACACCCAACACAGAGGCTGGGGAGAAGTGAGAAGGAAATAATCCAGTGGAGCAACGTGGTGAGACCAAGCACACAGCCTGCAAACACTCAATGCGCCAGGGCACAGCTGCCTTCTCCAAATTACTCACAGCTCAGTATTTAAATACACAGAAGACATGCCACCTAAGCAGCAATGAGATGTGACCTGTTCATGGAAAAGGTGACCTGATATGATGACACTCCACATCAGACCTTTGCACTTTGTGATTCACCAACACATTTAATTACATAATTCCAGCCCAGGAAAACTTGAATTATGCAAAGGAGCACCAGGTATGGCAACCAACCAAAACATCTGCACTTGACTTTGTTTGTGTGTCCAGTTCAATATGGAACATCCACACTTCTGCACCTGTGATGGGAGGTAGCCATATGACAAAAAAGACAACCTGTCCTAAGAAAACCACCAAAAAAATCCCAATTTTTAGTAATTTTTCTGGAATGAGGTTAGGACTCTTCCAACAAACCTGAAATGGTCCTGGCATAATTTTTAGTAATTTTTCTGGAATGAGGTTAGGACTCTTCCAACAAACCTGAACTGACCAAATGGTCTTGGTACCTGAGGCACAGCTACTGAATCCCTTGTGGTACCAACAGAAAGAGAACCCCTCTGGCCTCTTGTTCTCACTATACCTAAATATATTAAGTCAGTCTCAGCAAGAATGCAGCTGGTCAGTAGTTGCATGTGGCAAAAGGACTAATGTAGAACTCAAATACTTTAACAATGCAAATTCAAAAAAATGCAACCAACCAGCAAAACCAGGTAATTCCTTGAGGCCAAAAAGCCTGGAAGCCCTTGGCTCAGAAATGCTCTACTTGGCAGATTTCAGCAAAATCTGGGAATCAGGGAAACTCCAAGCTTATCACAAGGGCCAGGAACCAGGATCTGCAAAACAGCATCCCCAGGCTTCCAGGCAGTGAAGCATCAATCTCAACAAGAAAAAGGGCAACTGGGAAAGGGGCTTCAAAATGCCCAGCTCCTAAAGAGCCACATTAGTAGCCCAAAAAGCAAGAGAATAGGCTGACAGAATTCCACTGTGAAACTCAGTTTTTCACAACTTGCTACTACTTTGACCGTTCTGGATTTGCATAAAGCAAATTATTCCATTAGCTACACTAATGAATTAATTCATTTAATAAGTTATAAAAACCCCTAGCCATAGTACTACACATAAAAAGTATCTCATTAAAGTCTAACTCAAAATGCAGGCATATGGGGGGATTGCAACAGTTCTTTCTCCTGCTTTAAGTTTACCACATTCACTTTTCAGCAACTGCCTCTTCCTATAGCCTCGAGGTCCACAGTTACAGTGAATATTTTTGGTAGAACTTTAATAATGTGTTATTCTTTTGGTGCCATCCGACTGTTCTTTTGCATATTATGCTTTGTTTAATTAAAAAGAGAACAACATATGTTCTGCAATACAGAAAGCTGAATTACAGATGCATTAAGTCAAAGCTTTCTTTCATATTTTATATAAAAATATAACACCACAGATTTGTGTTTACTGAATTGCTATGTATAGGAAACAAACTTCAGTACTATCAGACAGCTAATTAAAATGGGGGAAAGAAAACAGTTATGCTAAATTAAAGTTCTTGGAACTTAAGCTTATGGTTTAGAAGCCTATGGAAACAGCTTCTGCATTATATCCTGTACAGCAGGATTTACGTAGATAGCATGAGATAAAACTCTTGCAAGTGCCTTCTGTGCTCCTTTTCCATTGAATGCTAAGATAATTTAAGTGTTGCTCATATGCAACAACCTTATTATAAGTAATTTTCAAACAATGTATTGCCTTTTTACTTTGAATGACTTCTGAAGTGCTGCACATGAAGTGAGTGCCCTTTGTAACACAGTTAGCTACTGAAAAATAGGTCCTTTAATTAGCTCTCTAACTATACAAAAATAATTTCCTTAGCTGTATTTCGCTTACAGAAATAACCTCTTAAAACACTTCAGCCTTGCACATATTACAGCAGGAAAGCCTCAAAACAGCAACAAACCACAACTGAGGTAACAATTGCACAAGTTTTAACCCAGCATGTACCTCACATAACCTTTTCCCAGGGCAACGAACCCCAGTGTTTCTCCCCAGAGAAAGGCTTTACCTGCAAACATGTGCACCTCAGTACAAATCTCTCCAAGCTCATCACCTCCACTCCTCCCTCCAGAAAGGGAGCAGGCCTGGCACCATCCCTGTTATTACACAGGCCCAGGTGGGGACTAAGACAATGGCAGCAATTACCTCGTGTGCCCCTTGTAGAGGAAATCAGGTGCCTTTGCAGAGCATTTAACTGATGTTTGTAAGCACAGCTATTAGCAACTTCTTTAAAAACTCACCTCCGGAGCAGATGGCTGCCTTAACAGAAGTGAGCTGCTATCTCATGTTCTCCTGCACATGCCAGAGGAGGTAGCTGTGGGTAGTCTGTCTGCCATTTTATTTTCCTGTAATACAGCTGAGATTTGAAATGTTAACCTCTGTAATCAAAGCAAAAGCTACCTACATGTTTCTATGCAGAAATACTACTTTATTCTGTCTCCACTGTTATTAAATTCTAAGTTGTGAATTACAGTTATCACTGTAGCTGTAAAACCAACAGGCTTACCACTCTTATTTTTTAAAAACATCAATGTAAAACATGTACTAGTAACTGTTTTTAATGTCAGCTACTCCAGTAGCTACAGTTAGGAACAGTAACTAACAGTCAAGTGGGAACCTGTGCTCTATTTCCTAGCCACAAAACAAATGTCAGCCAGGCTGAGTGGAATGAATAAAAGTTAACCTGAATAGATACATTTTGCCTCTTCCTTAAAGAAAAGCAGGTACAAATTGGAGGGATTATAATGCCTCATAGTCTGCTGCTTATAAAATCTTGTCTAGGGAATTTCATTGTTTAGCAACACACAAGTACAAAGCATATACATTTTGAGCACAGATGGCTTCCTAACTGAGCACTCACTTGTTTTCATTACTATGCTCTAATATCACAAATCTTTCATATTTATTATGTGAAGCTGTGAATGTGCCAGACAAGTCACCTTACTCTGAATATACCAGGATTTACTTCCAAGTGCAACACAGATGGAGTGAGCAAGACCATATACTTTATTTTTAAATGTTAACACCAATTTGAACAATTTGAGACAATATGTAAACATCCAAATAGCAGCAAATGGTTATGTATTTTCTTAAGGACTACTGTGGGCAGCATTTGGGAACACTGTCAGTACAAACATCCATGGGAAACTAGATTTCTCTAGCTCTTCTTCCACAAGAAAAACACAGACAGCTTAACAGCTCCTTTGGAATACTGAGCAAGAAACCCAAATATATTCCCATTCCAGAATAGTTTGGCAGTAGTGATCTCTGTGTAAAAATTGTGAAGCTCCTGAAAGCATCGATCATGAAAACTTGCATTTCTCTCAAAGTAACACAAAAAACTAAAGAATTGAATTGCAGAAAGTGTTAAGCAACCCTGTTGGTATTTATGGATGCTCTCCTGATTATGTCTGAGACTTATCTCCTTAATAAAAGATTTTTTGCTATATTGCTCTAACTCTGTTCTGTTCTATTCTCTAACACTGTGCAGGCCTTTAGAATGAAGACTGGTGTGGAAGTATATTGATGTTCCTGTGACTTCTATAGGAAAATGGGTTAATTACAATTCTAAGCCCTAAATTTGTCCAAATGTGTAGAGAAATGACTGCATTCACCTCTTGTGTCTCCTGACAGGAAAGTTTAAAGATATATTCAAGTTCAGAGACTGCAAGGCACTTGCAGAAAAGGTAAACCAGTTAGAGTTGGAACTGCAGAATTGAGCACAACTGTTGAAAAGACAAAGTATAAAAGCCAAATTAAAACTTTTTGTTAGTACTGATTTAAAGCTTATCTCAAAGCTGCTCCAGCTTTGTGCATGCCAGCAGTGGCAGTAACTGCTTCTGTACCTTCCTTCACCTTCAGGAGTATTTGGTGTCTTCCCCCTGCTGCTGAAGGTTTCAGTGTGTAATTATTATGCAAGGAAATGGGCAAACAGGCACTGCAGTGTGGAGCAATGGCTTTATGAGTTACAGATTATCTGTGCAAGCACTTCCTCTGGCACAGGAAGGCAGAGATTAGTGTTTGCCACTCTTCTGATGTGGATCGAATCACGTTATACCTCATGGTGGTACTGCAACAACAAAATACAAGGGCATAGTACAGAATCAGAGTTATTGCACCCCTGTTCTTTCAGGAGGAATGAAAAGGAAGAAAACTTCCTTGTTCTGTTCAGCTTGGAGTCAGAAACTATTCTAACTGGGTGGACCTCTCACACATGTTCATCTGGTACTGAAGCCCACCAGGCTTTTCACCCTATCATTTACCCATTTCACTACCATCATTTTACCCCAGTGCTGTTTATCCTTTCAATGATTCTGTTCTCAGCATTCTCTCCCAGTTTAGCCTCACCAGGGCTCTGCCCATAACCTACCTTGTGTGACTTGTCTTGCATTTTGACCTTGGTCTTCTATTCTTTAAACTAAGCTCTTGTATTCAATTTTGTTCTGTCTGTATAGTATCATTCTAATTTATAGATTAAAAATGCTTTATTAACCTGCTTGTTAATAAAGTTTTTTCTGAAAACAGCAGCTCGGAGCAGTGACAGCTTGTTCACTGAAGACATTTTCAAACCTTGGACATTAGTACACCACCAGAAAATGTTCATAATGCTGTGGGCAGGTCACAGAAAAAGCACATCAACACCCCAAGACAAGGTGTAATGAAATGTTTAAAACATATCTGACCTTTCAAAAGGACATACACCCTGTTAATATCTACTGACCTATGAAGATTACTACACCACTTTAGGTCTAACAGCAATTCTGACAGCAGTCTCTTCTTGCCTCTGGCTGAGCATGGCCTTTTGGGCCCGCTCTTCTGGACGTGCAAAGCAGGCATGTTTGCTGCCAGGGGCCTGGAGAGAGGCTTAGAGAGGGCAGAAAAGGGCCTGAGCCTTTTAATTTTTTTTTAGATCCTGAATTATCTGTGCTGTTTTGTTACAAACAGAGCTGTGGGATGATCCTGCACCCTCCAGGTGCCTGAGGAATGCATGCAGTGTATCAGCTGTGCACATGGCACACCTCCATGACCTCAGGAAACCAGAGGCTTGCACAGAGCTAAAAATACAGTTGCTTGTCAGACTAGATTGATGAAGATTTCTACAGCCAGAGACCTTGAATGCCAGCAACAGCCCATATTTCTGGCCACTTTTTTTTTTAACTCCTTAAATTTACTTGATTCATCCAACTCAACTTGAATTGTACTATTTGAATCTAAGCTTTTTCATTTGTTTTGGGTGCAGGTGATACTTATCTTAGGGGGTTTTTGTAATCTAGAAGGCCTACTTCCTATGTTGAAATAAATAAACAACATAGATTTAAGCATCTCCCTAATCAATGAGCTTCAAGATGCTTTTGATGAACTATAGGCTCATTTAAAATTCTGGCTATACAAAAGTGGTTTTGTGTAATGGCCATCATGGGAAGCAAGAAACCAAAACTTACAACTCCAGCATCCTTGTAAACTTCTGCCTCTTGACAAGCTTGATCAATGATCTGGGTCAATGGAAGAGAACTTCTTGGTGTCCCTGCAAGAATAATGCTGCTTACCCCAGGGCACACACAAACCAAACCCACGGACAGTAACAGCTTTGGCCAGGACACCCACGGGGATTGCACACTGAAACAGGGACATACAGGGCAAACTTGTTCACAGGCTGCCCTATCTCCTTGTGACATGCCTTAGTGACATCTCTTTCCTTAGCTGAACTTGGCAGAGCTGCTGTAACCACTCAGCTCCTAAATCTAATTCACAAACTTGAGGAATGTCTGCTATAATCCCGTTGCACTAGGTCGGCTCTTAGCTTGCTATTCACACACTTGTAATTTATCCTGCATTAGTGATGCTCCAGACAATAAAACCCATGGGCCAGACTCTATATCAGCATAGAACACGTATGCTAAACAACAGTGAGTTTAAAACCAGGTAAAGCTGTCCTTAACCTGCAAGGGTGATTGGATCTGATCTTCATGGCAGAAACACACACAGAAAGGATTTTGTTGGAGTTCAATGAATTTGCCTTAAGACCAAAGTCTCTTCTGATGCTTGGGTTCCTAAGGTCAGGCAGAGGGAGTCTGAACGGGGACTGTGTCAGCTCTGCCAGCTGCCCTGATTTCCCAGCCGTGCTGCCTGGGGGCTACTTCTGGGAAATCGTGGGCACCAGCCATCGAGGGCAAGGTGGGCTCTCTGAGCAGCTCTGCCCACGCTGGGCCCCCGGGAAGGTGGACGAGGCCAGGCTGGAACAGATCCCGCCTGTTCTCCGAGCTTCCCACTGCCTCCGAGGGCACGAGAGAGCTCCATCCAACCTCCATCCTACCCCAAAGCCCATCCGAGCAACCCCCAAACCTCGCTTCCTCCAACAAAGCTCACCGAGCCCAAATCCTGGTTTCCTCAGCCCAGGTCCCCGAGCGGAACTGCTTCCCGCCTTTTCCACCTCGGAACCGGGGAGCGCCCCAGCTGACGGCGCCTCATGAGGGGCCCGAGGTGGGGTGAAGGGACAGCCTTCCCGGGGACCGCAGCGAGCCAAGGGGTGACGCCGGATACCCGGACCCGGTCCGGGTGCTGGTCAGGGTCCGGGTCCGGGTCCCGCCGGCCGTGCCGCCCGCCCGCCGCTTACCGGGCAGCGCTCCCACGTGCACCATCCCGACCACGGCCGCCTTGGCCCGCCCGAACAGCCCGGGCCGCTGCATGGCCTGCGGGGAGGGAAGGAGGGCGTCAGCCGAGCCGAGCCGCCGGGGCGGGTGCCATGCGCCGGGAGAGGTGAGTGCGGCGGGCCCGCCCGGCGCGGGGCCCTGCAGGCCGGGCACCCCGCAGGCTCCGCGGCCGGCGCTCGCTCAGCTCCCCCTCTCTCCGCAGCGACTGCGCGGACGACAAGGGTCCTGCCAGGGGGGACGCGGGTGCGGAGTACGCCATGCGAGCCCGCAAGAGGAAAGCTGATGTGGCCACGGTGAGTGCGGGCCCGCCGGGCCGGGCCCTCGCCGCCTTTTGTTGGGTGCGGGCCCACGCGGAGGCCGGGGCAGGGCGGGCCTGCGGGGCTGCGCTCCTGCGGGACCGGGCGCGTGTCACAGCGGCCAACAGCTGCCTGGCCCGCGGTCTGTGCTCCGGAAATCATGTGTCGCCTTTTGTAGTTCTTACAGGATCCCGATGAAGAAATTGCCAAAATGGAGATGACTAGAAAAAAGCCGTGCGAAAAACAGGTAATTGACTTGGCCTTACACATAAATATTGTAGTTTTACTTAACCCTGGCCTTACTTTGCCGTGCTCCATTATTTATGGCAGAGTGGTGAAACAGGTATGCTGCTGCCACATGCTGCATAGCAGTGGGCAAGGGGGACTGTTGGCCCTGTTGATGATGGAGTGTGCAGAGCAATTCAGTTCATATATGTACTTTTGAAGCCTTTGTAAGATACAAGGCCTGTGTTGGTCTGAAGCATTATATTAATGCTGAAGTGAATTCAGCTGTCCTGGGGTTGCAAGGGTGCACTTGTCAAGCCTTTAGACCTACTCTGCATTCACTTCCCTAGAGAGGTGCAAAAGTACAGTCATGTGCTTATGTACCTTGTACATGTGCTCCTTAAGCATGCAGACAGGATCATCTCCTGAGGTGGTTCTCTTTGCAGCCATGTCTCTACTTCTCTGTCATCTGGGAAAGAGGAAAGCTTCCCCTTTTCTCTTAGAGCAGCTAAGATTTGCCATTGCCAAGGGTAATTGTCAGACAGACTAAGTGAGGGGTTCCTGATCAGAACTTGGAAGTGTATACTTGATGCTCGTGGTGGTATGGTAAAACAGATTTTGTTTGTCTGCAGAACAAAGGAATATTTCTGTAAAGTCACTCTACCTGTGAAAATCAGTCCTGTAGTGGAGGTTGATAGTGACCATTGCTGAATTTCTCAGCACGGCATGTAGAATGAACCAACTTAAAAAGTCAAAACTAGTTTTACTGGTGTCCTCTAGCTCCATTTGTGTGCTTTCCATATTCTTGAAAAGGCAGATGCTTTTGGCATCTCTCTTGGATGCTGTGTGATGTTGAAAGCGTGGTGCTTTTGTACCTTGAGTAGCCTGTGTTCTGGAATAGGGACATTCCTGCATTCCCCTTTTTTCCCTGAGCACGTGCACGCCTGCTCAGTCCCTGTCACTGAGCCTTCAGGGTGATGCTGAAGGTGCAGAAGTCACAGGCAGGGTGTGCAGCCTGTCCTCATTTGCTAGGCCAGGCTGTGCATAATGTGGCACATCTAACCCAAAGTGGCAGCTGGAAGTTCTAAGACTGAAGTGCTACCATAACAGATGGGCATCATTGTTTGGAATGGCCTCTGCTTGTTGCAACTGCGTACACTAGTTATCAGTCAACATATTAAGCAGGGCTCAAATGGTGAGCATTTAATGAGGGGATCTCTCCTTCCCTTCTGTCTTTCTTTTGCACAGTATATTAAACTAATTTCTCACTTCTGACAAGGAAGAGCTGCCTGTCCTTCACTGCAGCTTTCTCCTTCACCAGAAGATTCATTCTGTTTAAACTGAGCAAGGCCTTCCTGTGCATGTTTACTGCATAATAACAAGGTATTTGTTAGAAAATCTCAATGGGGACCCAATTTTACTGTCTTCAGAAAGACAGTGAAAGGAAACTTGAAGTATCTTTTGCGTATGTTGACCTTCAACCTTCAAAGCAGATAAAGACTTCCAATTTTGTCTTGTCGTCTCTTGTGCTCTTGGCCTGGTAGCCATTCAGTGTTACTTCAGGAATTATAGGTAAGCTAAAACTTAGATAATTTAGGCAGTAGGCATCAAAAATCTTTACTTGGTAATTTGTCATGGTGATTATAGGATGGTGATGGAATTTGACCCTTTCATTCTATAATCCATGAATAATATGACACCTATATATCTTTCCCTACATAGATCAGGTATTTTTGTTGTGACAAAGTAGCCAGATTGTTCCAGATCTGGTTAAAAAAGCTAACATTTGGCTGCACAGCAGCAGCTCTTCAGTCTATGGTGTGACACAAGCTATTCTCTGATATAAATTGCCATGGACCACTAATGAGAATATGTTTATGGTTCCAGCAGCAGTATAGCAGGCTGGAATGATAGCCAGGGCAGCAGTTATTCTGTGGAGACACGACAGTTCTAAAATGCAGGCAGCTATAAATCCACTGCAGCCTGTACCACATGACTTCTGCATTAAATAAATTGTTTACTGACACTAGTTTATCCACAAGGCAAAATATCAGAGTCACATCCCACTTTATGACATCTTCATAGTCAATTCATTAGTTTGCTTCTGTGGAACATAAGGCCTCAGTTCTTAATTAGGATGCCGTTACCCTTTATGTGATGAAAGGGTGGCTATATCATCAGGTCTGTGACAGCAGAATATTGCATAAATTCTGTGTTTGATTTTGGAGAACTGGCACTGCTGTAATTCTGCTAGCAATTCTCATACTAATTCTGGCTGCTTTGTGGGGATGAATACACTTCTGAGGCTCCATGTACAACAAAATTCATCTAACTAGATTAGAATAACCTGTGTAATTGTGATGCAGGTTGCATGGTCACCTCCATATAAAGTGAAGAATTGAATCTGTGAGTTAGTTTCTTTAGCTGAAACTAGCTAATGTTTTCACATGTGAAGGTGGAATAAACTCTCAGGAAGGAGTTTTGATCAGTTCCTTACTAGATGTTTTTCAGAATCTGATTTTAGCATTGTAAAAGTGTTCCACCTGTTTTGAAAATATCCTCCAAAAAATTTCTTTTACTAATCTAGATTGACTTTTGAAGATTCAATAAAAAGAACCAAAGAAAATAAAGCCCACAAAAAAGGAGTCTAAACTATACACAGGTTGAGAACTGACTTGGCTCTAATCTGGATCAGGACATTTAGACTTATTTCAAAGGAGTAGAAGCTCCTTTGCTATCCCAAGAGGACTGGAATAACTTAATAGTGTGAGTTGTTCTTTTCTGTTCGCTAAATCTGAAATTCCCTTCTGATGGCAAAGAAGAATTCAGTGCTTCAAAGTAATGCAAGTAATGCATCCTATGAGTGAAAAGTGGCTAAAATTACAGGTCTTGCTATTTCTGATGGGCAAACTAAGGCTGTGGGCTTGGAAGTGATGCCATTGTCTATGGTATAAGGTGCTGCTCTAAGGGTGACAAACAGGCCTGTTCCCCTGCCATTGATTTCCATGCTGAAAAGCCTCTGATGTTGCTGTTTGAATGCAGTTCTGTGTCATTCTCTTCCTCCTGCTGCACTCCTTGCTTGGCAGTGGAAGCTCATTCTGGTGGCTCCTAGTAGCTCACATTGAGGTGCACAAATGTTTCAGTAGTTTGTATTTTCAGATGTTTCTTCTTCACTGAAGGCCCTGCCTGGCCTGTAACCAATAACCCCAATGGTCAACTTACTGTGTTTTGTGTCTGATCTATATCCTGAAGGTTGTTCAAAAATTATTTTCTGTGAATATTTGATGTATCAGTGGGTGGTGATATGCTGCAGGAAACTGAGGCCTGCTAATGTTTGAGCTTTATAAAGACTCCCACCTCTGAACTTTTCTCCGTTTGGAACTGTGTGGGCTTGGGTGCTCTAATAGGCTTATCACCCACCTTCTTCCCTCTGGGTACCTCTCCTCCTAATGAGCCTTCTCAGGTGCTTTTTTCTCCAGTCTGTCTCTTGTTCTTAGGTCTGAGATCGAGATCAGCATCTGATTAGTTGTGTC